CAAGAGGAGAATGAAGGGGAAGGGATTGTGGCATGGCCATCCCCCAGTGAGGGGTGCTTTCTCACTTTCTGTCTCTCTATCTGTCTCTCTAGAGAGTGCACATGCCCTGTAGCAAAATTCTCTCTTAAAAAAGGATAGAGCAGTCTTGAACCAGTCTTGGTTCCTAGAGGTTAAGGGAACCAGGTCCCACATGGTCAACCACACAGTCTGAATCCCAGAACCAGTGGTTTAAGAAATACACCAGACACATGTGTGTGTATGCATGCTCAAAATTTTAACAGGAAGGAGAAATGAAGGAGAGGCTATTGTGCTGTGAGCATGCCCCATCGTGAGATGCTTTCTCCACTAGCTCCCTCTCTCTGACTCTTTTACAAGCACATGTGCCCTCTGGCTTATAAGAAACAAAGAACAGGACAGTCTTAACCCCTAAACACGAATCTTTTACCACTATCACAGTACGATACCATGTATAACAGTACTTATCAAATGCCTATGAATAGCAGGTACTCAAACAAACGTGGTATCTAGCCTCTGTTCTAAAAGATGCTGATTTCTCTTTCACAACTAAAATGAACCGTCTCTTAGGGAAAATTACATCTTTACCCTAAGTCTGTTTTTAAAAAATCAGAAGAAATAAATGGAAGGCCTGTGACTACAAGAAGGTAAAGAAAGAAGACAGAAGAGGAGGGTAGAACGGACAAAAGAATGGGAGAGGTAGACGAGGTGAGGGGAGAGGCATCGTGAACTTGCTAGGTTTTCCATTTCAGAAAACATGTTTATTACAGTAAGATACTGGGCAAGGAAAACATTTCCATTTTCTTCTGACAGCTGGAGCATAAACTGCTGCTGCAAAAATATCAGAAGTTATTGGACATTTTGAGCACTCTTCCTAGTGAGAAAATAGTATTCCAGCCAATTTGAAATACTGGCCTCAAGGTGCCCTAAAAAGTTTGTTTTTCAAATGCAGAAATGTCAGATGTTGGACAGAAAGTGATGTATACTGTCTAGTGGGCAGCATCCTGGCCAGACATCAAATCTGGAGCGTGTCTCCCTGTATTCCAGGTTCTAGCTTTGCTGTCCTTTACAGCCATTGCTACCCCCACCACGGATGATTCATCCAAAGAGAACCAAAATTAGAGTTTAAGAACCACTGACCTAAAGCCAAACTGGGTTCTGACTGGTAACCACTACAAAGCCTTCAAAGAAGCTGACCTGAACCTATGGCAAGTTGGAGCTAGTTGGAGCTCAAAGAATTTGATTACTGGCAGGTGGCATGGTGGTTAAGGCACTGGACTCACATGGCTGACTGCAGTTCAAGTCTCAGACCTGGCAGCTTGCTTTCTCACTTTCTCTCTCTCTCTCTCTCTCTCTCTCTCTCTCTCTCTCTCTCTCATTCTGGTCAAATTTAATAATAATAATAATAAATTAAATAATTTGTTTAAGACAAGACCTGATTACTTCTAGTTCTAGTCTAGTAAGGACCTGTCTGAAAGGAGCCTAGAGAATCCCTGGAATTCATGTGGCTAAACCTCATAATATTATGCTCTTTTAAATAAGATATCCTCAAACACATAAAACAATATAATCACTCTAATATAATTACCTGTAAATAGAAGAATTGGTAAGGCAAATACTTAAGCCCATGTGGATCTTTTAAATGTACTTCTGACAGCGAACGATTTGAGAAACTGTTCACATTAAGCCAAAAATCTGCTGTCCACCCTCTGCCTCTCACTGGCAGCATATCCACTATCTGTAGCCTTCCTTGTGGTGAGGCTCACTCCTACTGAAAGACCAGAGTTGAATGCACTGCACATGTTTTAAATAAAATCACTACAGACTTAACAAGGAAAAAAGATCCCTGGAATTTTTCCATTCTTTGGAAGGACTTCTGTGATCTGTGAGAGAATACTCATGATGTAGAGAGAGGTCAGATGAATGAAAGAAATCCATACATCCCAGCTTTGCTGTGTGTTTCACTTAAGGAACGATTCAATGTTTCCTATCCCTCACCAGCATGAGGAATATTGTCATTCACGGTTTATGAAGATAAAATGGAAACAATGCGCACATACCCTGACTGTATGTAAACCATCGGAATCCTGAGTAGTAAGCAAATGAGAGGTGGCATGGGAAGGAGGGCAGATGAAACGAGAACATCATGAATGTGGCTGGTCAGAGCACTCTTTTAAGAACTGTGCTTCAGCAGAGAAGCAGAAGTGGAAAATTGTCGTGAGTCGATAAAGCAGCAATTTCTCCATCCATTCTCCCGGCTGCTATTGAGTAATGCTCAGCTGAGACTGAAGTTCTTCTCTAAGCTTCTGACTGACTTCCTGATTAAGCACTGTAATAGGGAGCTTATTCTTTCAGGAAGGTAAAGCAGTTGAACTCTCTTGACACATATATTCAAGCTATACACTTTCCATTACTTTGTTGTTCTTCACGTTAAAATGTGGCTTTTTCCTGAGAATATATTAAATGGAAAGCCCAGACAAGACACAAGAAATAAAGGTACAATATTCACATAAAATTCACTACATCATATTGTATCTGTACAAAGACATGGGCCACGTGACTTAACTGGCAAACGCTAACCAGAACACTGTGTTTCATTATAAATTATCTGGTATTTATTTTTATATTATTATCTATATCCCAAACAAAACCAAAAAAAGTTATGATTAAAGAATGAAAGGATAGACAGGCAATCCATAGTTAAGCATTATGAATAAAATGTTCCAAATTAAATTATTATTTTATAATAATGATTTACCAGGTAATGAATCTCTATTTTTCTTCCCATCCACGGTTTTATCCCAAATACATATAACGGACCGCATTCATAGGTTCTCAATACAGCACTATTCACAAGGCTAGAGAATTAACAACTATTGATAGCATTTGCCAAGATGCCCATGCATCTTCGCATTAAAGCAACAGCGAAAGTCCTTCAAATACATATTCAACACTCCTTGTCAATGATTCTGGGCTACATACATGGAAAGACTTGTATAATATGTCATAAATAAAGGGCTAATAAAAAGAGGGCAAAATGAATAGCACAAACACTTCCATGCTTAACCAACTAATAATGCTAAAAAATAAGATATTACATTCTTTCCTTGAAATCATCCTTATCTGTTAACTTGGACGTAAAACTAATTTGATGCTATAGAGTAATTTTGAAAATAAATTCAAAATTACCAATGTGCAGCTCAGAAGTACTAAGTGCATGACTAGTTCAAAACTCTTGCCTTCTTATTCTGAACTTATAATAACTGCCTATTAAAACACACTTGTTGATGTCATATTAAGTTTATTTTCAGTCAAAATGACTCTTAGGTGTCTGATGATCAATTTAACCCTTAAACTTTTTATAGGAAAAAAGAGAAAACATAGTTGTCTGACCTAATAAAAATATTTTATGACTATAATTTCATACAAAAGTCCAACTTTCTATACTGTATTCAATCATAAGAGAGAATTTTAAATAGTCACATCTTCATATTAAAATAAACAAAGCCAAACCAAATAATATAAAATAGAACTTACTTAAAACTACTTTACTGCCCCCAAAATAGTTATTTTTAGGACTAACTCTTTCAAGTAAAGTATAGTCATTCCAAACAATGTAGAAATAATTAAGCCTTGGGTGGATTATTTTCCTTACGTATCTAGTAGGAATGCCATAATGAATCTCTATTTTTCTTCCCATCCACGGTTTTATCCCAAATACATATAACGGACCGCATTCATAGGTTCTCAATACAGCACTATTCACAAGGCTAGAGAATTAACAACTATTGATAGCATTTGCCAAGATGCCCATGCATCTTCGCATTAAAGCAACAGCGAAAGTCCTTCAAATACATATTCAACACTCCTTGTCAATGATTCTGGGCTACATACATGGAAAGACTTGTTTTGGAGTGCAGGTCAAGGTAACATCTAGCCTTTCCTCTTTATTCATAATCAGCACTATCCCTCATTGAAAACACAAATGCAAATTCATCCTGGACTCTTCAGTAGGCCACTTCACTGAAAACATTTACAATTTGGTTTTTTTGGGGTTTTTTTTTTGGGGGGGGGGCAAGGGTGAATTCAAGGTATGATTTTCTTTTATATCACTGTCCTATTAACTAAAGAAATCTTGCAGTAAGCACTCCAGATAATATGCTAATAGAAAATAACCCCCCCAAAAATGCAATAGAAACAACTGATGTAGGAGTTAACGAATACATGCTTAATTTTAGTAAGATCAGTGATTACAACCAGAGTGAAGTTACCTAAGCAACCACTCTGAAGCACATGCAATATTCAAATGCATCTTTATTGTGCTGGCTCCTTGTCTAGAAGTTTGCTACTGACAGCATTGCCACTAAATGCATAAACCTGTCAGATCTGTTTGTGACAAAAAATAAAAAACAAAATCCTTTTGGGATAGAAAGACTTACTTAATGAGCATATGACACCAGAACATAAATACCTATAAGCAAAATCATAGAAACACACAGGAAAAAGTGCAGCTAAGCCAAAAGCTAGAATTGTTTAGTAAGAAGCACAATCATTAAACCACATTAAATCACATACTTTCACACAGACACAGTCTTTCCATGGAACTGGCAAGTGGTCTATTTTTATTTCTAAATGTGATAAACTTACACAATTAGTATAACCTAAATGTTTAGGAATATAAGAAAATGCTTATGAAATATATTATTGGATACTATTAAATCAAGGGTGTAAAAAACAAATATGAAATGCCCAGACATGCTGATGACAGATTAATCTATGTAAAATCAGCAGAAAAGGTATGAGGCCTCATTTACTCCACTATGTGTCTACACGAACGGATCACTTGAGAATATCAAATCATCTTCAAGTATGGTGTGCCCAGGGAAATCAGAGGCCACAAAGATATACTCTGATCTAGGCAGGGAAAAATTTTAAAAATCAAGGCAGAAGTTTTCTCTTTTCCAAGAAAGTGAAGAAATCCTTACCTTTCTGTACACCAGCATGTTGGGTGATTCGTCCGCCACCCCATTGCTGGTCTGACCATAATTATTCCCCTGGGCCATGTCACCCAAAACTTGGTCCACTCTCAGATGCAAGGATTATTAGTCTGCCTGAAAAGGGTGAGAGAGACTTCAGTGAGATCCTAGTACAGTGTTCAAGGGGGCTGACTGCCCTGGTTCATCTTCATCCCACCACCCACCCCATAAGGAGCATGCTGACAAGCTGGGGATGGATGAAGTGACACAAGACATAGCATTTGTTCGTTTGTTGTTTTTCAATGAATTACACCTACAATAACCCCAGGGAATGGTAAGAAATTACAATCTTCCCGTTAGAGTCAGTTAGCTATGGTTTTAGGTGATTCCATTTTCTGGATATTAACATTTTTTAAAGTGTTAGGTGCTCACCTTAAAACCCATGATTACTACTGAGTTCTTTTCTAGCCCAACACTTGATGATGTTTTCCCAAAAGGGTGAAAAGGTGACACCCGGGGCAGCACACTTTCTCCCAGGTATCTGTGTCATTTCCCCACACACAGGCGCATCAGAGAGGCCCGTTCCCGTGTCATTCATCAGCACCTGTATTTCCTCTTTATCCCCTGGGTCTCCTCCTACACAGAGCCAGGGTTTACCTTCGCCTACTTTCACCTGCCTGCGCTGCCAGCCACAGGCTGATGGTCTCACCCCACCTCGCTTTGGAAGTCAGGAGGTAATCCTGCCTCTTCTTGGCCAGAAGGCACCAGAACACGTCCTGGCAACAAGAACTGGTGGGAGGTCAAGCCTTCAGCCAATTACCCAGGTCAGCAAGGGTAGATACTAATTGCAGAAGCCTCGGAGCAACCAGGCAAAGAGGAGAAAAGAAACAAGCTCAGCTCCACTTGCTCGGCTCCCACGGCAGCAGCAAATGGCAGGCGAGCCTCCGGCGGCCGGAGCGGGGCAGCGGGTTCAGCACCGTGGACCGCGGCGTGCGCACAGCTCCAGCAGCCCAGTCCCGGCGCGGGGTTCCCGGGGGCGGCCGCCCAGCGCCGGCGAACGCTCCGACTCCTCAGAACCAGGGCTGGGTGCAGGCTGGAGCCCCGCAGGGCGCTGCCTCCTCCCTCCCGCCTCTTCTATTTACCTCCTCGGCCAAGGTCACGGCCCCACGGCGAATCCCTCCCGGGCGGGCTGGGTGCAGGCGGTGTCAGCTGGCGGCAAGCGGAGCAGCGAGGCAGGGCAGCTTCATCACACTCGGCGGATGCGGATCTCGCGCCGCCCCAGGTCTCGCTGCTCAGGCGACCGCCACCCCCGCCGCCCCCCGTGCACC